CTGACGTATGGAATGGAACCGAGTAAATATATCTTAACTGCATTCGGCCGTATATTGATGGGAGGTCCGCTGAGTGTGTTGTGTCTAACAGCTTCTTCCTTCTTCGTCGCGTGTTGCGGGCCGCATTTCACGCGAATGTACCGGGTGACTCGATCGCCCATTCCGCGAGTTGATGGATGATGGCTCGTCGTGGTCCGGTTGGTTTTCGTTCGTTGGCGCTCGCTACACTCGCCGTGGATCCCGGATAAATACTCCACGTGTCACCGATCGATATTTTCATCGATAAATCGCGGTACTGGGATTTACTGGCAGAGTGGCGAGACGTTTCCGCTTGTTCCATGTAAACGATATATTCTCCTCCTTCGTGCGTCGAATGGCGCGGATACCCAAGGAACGATGTTTCGTGAAAAATATAGATTTAATTCGTTACTCGACAGAGTTGTGTACGCGTGATATTTGTGGATCGTTTGGTAAAATAAAGAGTTGCTCGGAGATTTTACGAATACCCGTTGAGATGTTTACATTACAGACGCACTCTAACCACTTCGAACGAGATGCTTCTTCAATGGACTTCTAAGTTAAGACTACTCTTCTTCTTTTGATGCTCGATCGATCTATCCCCGAATTTAAAATCATCTCCTCGTTGAATACTCGATCGGATTTTCCTTTTAGAAACAACGTGTAGATTCGTGTTTGTTTTCATCTTTCCGTGCTACTTCTTAAACAGACTGCAGACTGCATTAACAGGGAACACCCTGTATGAATGGAAAAAAGAATATATCACAACGTCCTAGGTTTCACAGGTTCCAGTTTCTTAGAATTCGAATTTCAAGATTCAGAATATAGATTTCGGGAAACAAACTTCATTGAGCATCTTCGATGTCGTAACTTTCAGCTTCCTCTGTGTTCGTGAAAACATGCTGTCATTTTGTCGCTGCATATCAGCTAATCGTCTTCTCTGAATTCCTCCCGAATATTCTTGTAGCCGGTACAATTTATTTCTGCCTGTTTCAGTAACTTTATTGCCAAGTTCGTGAGCAAACGACAAACACGCGCGCCTAACTTTCAAGACTAGTTCCGTACAGCTTTGTGAGTCTATAATTATTCGAACGGTTACGAATTTAAGGTAGGCTACTTTTCACTGTTACCACGAATATTTCCTAATACCTATGCTATTTCAAGTTACTTTAAATAATAATCTCGTCAAAGATATTGCTTTAAATATCCGATGGTTGTCTCTAAGATACGAAATTATACTCGACTCTGACAAAAGCAAAGGGTAGCTCTCGGTTAACGAGAATTCTATAGCAGGAAAAGCAGGTATCTCTAGATAGAGATTGCCGGTTGAACGTTTTTCCCTCGTATTCATCGAGATATTTCTAGTCACGGAACAGACTACACGTGGAAATATGTGGCGCCTTGGAGAACGTCGCGTCGCCACGTCCTTCCTTTCTGCGCGACTATCGAACCTCGTTTTTGAGATATCGGCCTCTCGGAAATCACCGAAGTATTCGATCCATGCTGAAGGATATCGAGAAGGAACGACTATCTAAGATTAGACCCCATAGGTACAAAGCGCTTCTCGAGCATTTCGACGCGACAACCTTCGCCTATCGTCAGCCTAATTGTTCTGCTTAGAGGACTCCTTTCCCTCTATTTTTAGTCGCCCCCTCGAGATATCAGGTAAAAATGCACCGCCGTCAAGAGCAGAGGAATTGGAAGGCTTGTGACTCGTACGAAGGCTTCTAACGAACCGTATAAACGACCGAGCACTTTCTTTGTATTAGGGCGAATTTTCCAGTCAAGCGTTCTGTACTTGTTATCCAAGCAGTTTGCTCACGGCCTTTTAAATACGATAAAAATACGTAGGATTCACGATCGTCGTAAATCTAGTTGGCGGTTTTATGCCGCGTAAAAATGATCTTTTAAAATAACGCACAAAATGGTACGCGGAGGAAAAAGGTTTACCATAGAGTAGCGCGTAATTTATCGGTGCAGTGTATCCTTCGCTTGACGTAATATAAAATTACAAAGCGATACACTCGTTGACGACTTATTTTTGACAAGTTTCAGCGAAAGCGATAATATATACGCAATAAAAAATACACGTAATAAAAATTGGCAAAATCATCGACGAACATTTTCCATCGAATCGCTTTGATCATCGTTCGTCGGTTTACCTTTGAAACGTCGTAAAACGGTGAGATCTTGAAAACGGATTATCAGCGCGTTCACCTGATCGAAATGCACACTTGGCGAATGGTCGGAGCATTACCAGAGGGTACGCGTGTAACGAGGGACGTAGGTGAGGAAATAAAAATTCGTAATGTGGGTACTTCCTGCAGGAGACCTTTTCACAGGTGCACAAACCTGTTCGAAGACACTCGTTGAACCGCAGATGTACGTCGCGACGTTCTCTTGTTCCTGGAACAAGAACTTGCCGTGTACCGACACCTGGATTATATAGGTGTGTTGTTTCCCACGATGTTTAAGGAAATTCACGATCTCGCGGCACATTCGGCCCGCCGTAACTGATCATCTTCGTTCTGTGTAACGACCGTGAACGTACCTGTTAGCTAGTAGCTTCATGTGGGTGTTTTGCAATGGAAAACCAATTGTACGGCGGACCCGTCTGTTTGAAAGAATCGATTTGGCTATTCTCGTAGTTAACCGTTTGTGAATTCGATCGTAACGTTTGAAATCTGTTGCAGTTGGTACTTCAATCGGTTGGAGCAGGACCAAGCGTTCTTCAGCAACTGTGTACTCTTCCATTTCCGTTCTACGGTGCTCCAGGATTGACGTCATATATTTTCCCGACACTCTTGGCAGCCACGCATCAAAATCCGGAGGCTACAGCAGTCCTGTCTTGCGAATTATCTTATCAGGTAAATCTCGTTTTCTTCAAAGAGACTTTTTACCGGTATCTCTCTTTTCAAATTATCGAAATTATCAAAATTTTATGAAATTTTAACTCAACTTGATACCTCTGATATTTTTCCTTTGACAAATTCTTAAGACGAGAACGATATTTTCAATCGCTAACGTTAGAAGACTGGATAAGCGAAAGAGAAAATTACAAACAAACCAAATGAACGTTCTATTTCGCAGCTGCTGGAGGAGTACAGAAATTCGGACGATGGTAAACTAAATCCGTTGGTCCGTTTGCTGAAGGACTCGGTTGATCCATAATCGTCCCGATTACGATTCGATTAGTTCGTTTAAGTTTCTTCAAGTATCTTCGTTACACGCGATGAACTTCGTGGTCGTAGTTGATCGCAGGATCATCGTTTCTATTCCGTTCGAGGAAGGTTCGGGGAACAGTTTTGAGAAAATTGTCGTTACGTACGTCCATCGTTGAAAAGCTGTCTCGAGGCTGGTACTCGACATTGCAACGTATTTATACCGAATGCACGTGCTATTAAATACACGGAGGGTAACTGTAAAAATTCGAATCGAATTGGCGAAGAGACTAGGAGGCTAAATTTTTACCACGATCCTGTCACTTTCAACAGTCGACCAATCGAAGGGTTTGTTTTGCAGAAAGCGATAATTGCGAAGAAATGCATTTGAATGCATCTTTTTTTTTTTTTTTTATTCCTTTAAACGTCATTCGGGCGTTCAACTTTCAATCGCTATTGCGAAAATCAATAATGCTGCTAACGATCTTCGATTCGTGAGTTCTCCTCGACGTTATAAACGCTTATCTTTAACGCATAGCGTAGAATTCTCGAAACGTTTATGCAAATGGAAAATTTCGTACGATAAGCGTATATGCTTGTTATCGAAAGTCGTTGATGCATTGCACGCGTTCAAATCACTTCTATAATGTTTCTTTACTTTATGCTCGCGTCTGTGATAGTTTCTTCCGCTCGCACGCGTATTCTAATGAAATTCTAACGTTCGCGACGTGATATGCGGCACAAGCTACGAAGTTCAAAAATGAAAGGAAGAATCTTTGTTTTCTTAATTATTATAGTTTTATCGCATTGAAATTCCATTTCCGTGATTGTTATGTATCGAAGCTTGCCGATTATTTTAGCAGCGCTTTCAACATACAGCTTCGACGGTCTTCCTATTTTATATAGAAATAAATGAAATGTAAATAGCGACGAAAACGTTCGAAAATATGCGCTTTTCTACCTGCGTACGAATTATAATTTCTCTCTGTGTAATTTGCTGATCTCTAGATCGGTAAATGAAGTAGCAGATTTTTTCGTGATCGAGTCTTTGCTTCCTTTTTTGCGATCGTTTCAGTTCTTCTAGTCGTTCAACAATGACACTCTCTAGTCTTAGGCTTTTTCCCTACGGAAATCATTTACAACGTGATAGAATCATACTTTACACAGCTTTTCTGTTCGCGTTGTTAATCATCTTTTTCTTTGTATCCGTGTGACTTCATATTACATCACACGACAAAAATGGTAAACGTTTATTTTTATAAATATTATTTTCTTCTTTCCCGTAACTTCTCGGTTGTTAGTTCTAAGATATTTATTTCGGTTGTTTCTAATCGTTTCTAAAATACCAAATGACGAACAAATTTCGTTAATATATTATTTTTGGATATTCGTTACGAATAGAAGTTCATTTGTTTCTGTACAAAAACTCTTCGGTTCCCTTTCAATTTCGTGATGGACGCACGTAAGCAAACAATTTTCATGCTTCAGACATCGTCGTTGATATTACCATTTTACTTGGTAAATATAATTGATATTAATTGTACAATCGTGAGTTAGAATTATCCGTTAAGAAAGTAAACTGATTATTTCTGATTTCGCTATTTCACCGTGTAATCGTTCGCTATTGCGTCGAAGATACAAAACTCGGCAAGTCCGTTTCGCTCGCAACGTTAACGAAGTGTAAGCTAGCGAAATACTCGTTGCCGTGTTTTCGCAAATTCTCTCCACCTGCGGCCAAATATTCGACGTTTCAAAAGAAAACTCGTCAACCTTTTCGTTTTCGTTGCGTCATCGTTGCAACGATTTCCGAACGGATATTCAACCGAAACATTTCACGGGACATTAAAACGATTAAAAACGTGCTTTCATTCCCGTGTTCCCAATTACAGTCGTTCATGCATTTTTAGTCAAACAGCGTAATTGCCGTTGAAAACTGCTAGAGAAAAAAAGAAAAAAAAAAAGGATCAGGTGGAAACGAGTTTAAAACGGACTTGCGTGTTTTTGAATCTAGTCCGGTCAGCGATTCGCAGGCTTTATAACCTTACGATCGTAATTATATTTGTACGTTTAGTACGTAGCGTATACTTGTTTCTCTCGTTTTCACGCGTGCCAATAATTCGTGCAAATGAACGTGTCTTTTGAACGGGCCTTTTAAACGTTTTTAGCTGTCGTGCAATGATCGAGCTACGACTCGTTAGAATTAGAATAACGTATCTCCGTGCGTATATGAAACCACGTGAACCGTACCGAGTCGGTGCAAATTTCTGCTCTTTTTACTCCGTAAAATGTGCCAAACACGGTAGTCGATCGAGCTAACGGCAAAAGATAAAAAAATAAAAGGAAGAAAGAGGGGGAGAGCAGGAAGAAGCTCGAGAGGCAAGAAAAAGACGTTTGAGAAACCGAAGATACATTCTTAGACATTAGTATTGTCATATATCGGCATCTTTGACACACTTTACATTGTAAAAATGCAGAAATTTCTGTGCTTTAAGGCGCACATCCTTTTTCCTGCTTCGTTTCGTTGAGATGAAGATTGTCACAGGAGTTATATGACGCAAGGATACGTGGCGATGGTTCTCAGTTTCGTTACGACTTTTTACCACGATAGTTTTCTTGCAACTCGGCCACAACAAATAAACGAATAACAAAAAGACGATAAACAGATCGCGTTATAGCTAATTGAGAACCACCGGTTTAAAAAATTCGTAAAGTTTCTTTAGCAGAGAGAATCTTTAGGATAACATGTGCTCTCGCTTCGTTATTTAGTGACTTTTCGCGAGTCTCGCATAAACGCGTGTACGTATTTAATCAAGATTGATTATATATGATAAATGTTTATTTATAAGAAATCGAAGGCATATTTTAATTTAAGTATACCAGCAACGCATTCAGCGCTACACAATTTCCTTTTTTTTTTATTTATCGTTGTTTATCTCTATTTACGCGTTTTACTTGCTGTCTTCTTTTGTTGTTTTTTTTTTTTTTGCTTCAACCATTATTCGTTTTCTTCTTTGTTTATACCTCGCTTCTTCTCTAGTACATTCTCTATTTCCAACGACAATTATTTCGAGAAAATTCAAATTTGAAGGAATAAGATGCGAAAACCTTTGATACTTCGTAAGACAACACGTACATTCCATTCCACTACGCATACGACTAAAAATTCATATCGAAATATCTAAAGTATCCGTGACTCGAGTCTCTTATTTTAAAAGTTATCAATGAACGTTGTAATTTTTTTAGTTGCAATGAGTAGATCTTCCAAACATGGTACAAGATCCTGTTTCCCAGAAATACGGGAACGAAACTCGACAGCCAAGAGTCTGTTATTTATTAATGATGTTATTGCAGTCGTATTGTGACGCTGAATGGGTTGATATAAAATATTTATCTATATTACAAATGCAACGTGCTCTTCGAATAGATATTTATTTCACAACGATATGAATTTATCATAGTGCAATGTAAGATTATTTATTATCGAAAGGAGAAGGACGAAAGTGAGTACTTATAAAAAGGTACAGGTTTTCGTGGGTGCAGCGAACGCACTTGTGCAATGTCCTGCCAATGCAATTAATATTCAAGTATTATATATATATTATATATACTGTATACATATATTTAGCGAATATTTAACTCTGTATTAAAGAAGGCAAGGATCGCGTAGGTTAACGCTATGATGTAACTTTTGCGTAAAAGTTTTGTAGCTCAACGGCTAAATTGAAAAATCTTACTTACAAAAGAAAGTGTGGAAACACACACACACACACAGTTGCCCCTATTTATTCTTCTTTTCATGTTTTCGTCGACTCTATTACGATTTATCGCGTTGATTTTTCAATCGACGGGAATCAAAAGTTTCGTTTCAACTTTCGATAAAATTGATTTAATTTTCGTCATACAGGTAGATCCGAAGACGTTGTAATTCGTTTAAACATGTTTCGTTTAAAGCCAGATTATTGTAAGTTGTTACAGAAAGAGATAATTGAAACTTCCGCGATGTTGGACGTGAGAGGTTGAATTTTATAGAACGACAAAGTTTTATACGAAATTCGACGTATGTATAATAAATAATCCTGCAATAAATTTTACAAGCTTGAATAGCTAGAAATAGGACCACTTTTTGGTCGCCGTTTGTTCGAGGAAGGAATGAACGTGTTATTTGCGCCTGGAAAAATCTCTTATAGAATTTATTTTGTATACGATCGACGATAAGATGAAGAAACATTTAAGGTACACTGCAAAATTATCGCCGATTAAATGGCGCTTATGCGACGATACGTGTACAAAATCAAGTTACATTGTAAAATATTTCTTCCTTTTTTTATCGTTTCTCTTTGTCTTTTTAAATCGATACCGATGTTTCTACAATATAACAAACGCGTCAAGTATTCCTCCTTACTTTGCCTATCTATAAGACGATCAAACGATCAAAACTGGTGAAACGTTTGTCGTTTTCAGTCTTAAATATCGTGTTCGTTCCTGTTGATCGATACGACGAGCGTTGAAAATCGTCGAGAAAGAAGAAGAAAAGTAAAACGAACGTTATTTTATCATCGCTGAAAACTAACGTCTAAGGGAATATTATTCTAATCAGAGTACTCGCGTACCGTTTATATTTTCGAAGTAATTTAGCTCGATCGTCCCACGTAATGATACTCTTTCTTGTAAGCAATCTATGTAAAACTATGGTTCGACGTTACGATACAAACTGAAAAGGAGAAAGCAGGAACAGATTGCGCGTAATACGAAGCGCGTACTTGGCCGACGCTGCGCGGCTGTACGAAAATTTCACGATCGATCGTTCGCGATTCCATGCCTGTTCACCTCTCGTTCGCCACGACGCGTTGCGATTAACTCGCTGATCGGTCGAAGGTCGAAACAGAGGTCGAACGTACGCTTTGTAAGATTCGCTAGAAGTAGGAACGAAACTGAAACTAATAAATTTCGACGAAGAAACTTTATCGTTTGTTCTTAAATAACCTCGTGCTTTCTCCCTTCCTTAGCAGCCACTAAATCCTCTAAACGAACATTTTGTCCCGTAACTTTTAAAGAGATACGTATTTCCTCGCGAGTGTATCCTTTAAAATAATCTTTCGATCGTTCCTTTGCCTTTTTACCCAAGCAATCATCTCGTTCTTTCTAACGAACGTTTCCAGCAATTTTACAGCGAATGTTACGTCTCTCCTATAACGTTCTGTCCAGTCCAGATTACGATTACTCTGCCTGCGAGTTGAACGTTATCGGTCAAGTACAATGCCACTTTGCCACAATTTTTGGTAATCGCGTGGAACGCTAACTGGCGCCGCGTGACTTTAAATTCGCCGTCTAAACGAACATTAATAGAAACATGCTGCGTCATTAGAACACGGTCTGTCATTTGCTTATTATCCACCTGTCGAAACGCGATACGAGGCCGTCACTTGGCTGGAGCTCGGTTAACAAAGTCCACGGAAATAGCGCCTTATTTCGACGTTAAAAGGAAATGAAATGGAGTCGTGGACGAACGAATAGGGCAAGACTTTATCGGTGTACCGCGTGCCGAAATTATCGTAATATTACGTATTTTTATTCGACGCATTTGTCGATCGGTTGATCGACTCGCTAAGTAGGAACGACGCGACGTCATCGCGGGCGAACAACGCGAAGACACTGCTGCTTACGCGTGTGCACCGAAACGGGCCGCGCACGAATGACGTATGGAGTGCATAGGGTAATCTTTTTTCCGGAGCGTTTTAGCGCGCCGGGGTCTCCACTTTTTCCCCGAGCGTAATCTATAGGCGCACTTAATACAGCTGCTCGTCCGAACAACTTCCCCGCAGCCTCTTTTTCCTCCTCTCGTCGCGCCGCGTTCTCGCGCTTTCCTCGTCGTCTCTGTCTCCTCTGCGTCTCTTGTACGCTCCGCTGTCTCTGGGAAAAAGAGGGACCAAGGGAAAAAGAGAGCGTCAGCTTCCACTTAGCGGCACCGTACGATATATCACGCTCGGTCGCTTTTACCCTGTAAATTGTGGAACCGCGTTTCGCGTACAACTATACGCAGCCACGTGCAGCGACGCTGTTTTCGTCGCTGTCGAGGAAGGAGCTTCGCTCTTCGCGAGCAAGAAGCAACGAGAGTACAGGGATCATCGATGATGTTTCGTACGTTGCTTGGGTCCACCAACCGTTAAAATTATACCAATTGGCGTACACGTGTTAATCTGCTTCGACGACAAAAGCGCAAGATTATCGTTACTCGCTCCATCGTTGGTTACTTCGTTTCATTAAAAGCTTAGAGATCGTAAACGCGACTGTTAACGACAACCAATCGTCTATTTGGCACCGAATCGCCTGCTTTTTCATGTTCCCTCTGCCCTGGAAGGCAGCCTGGATGGATCGACCCGTATCAACTTGCGTAAAAAGACCACGGTTCTCCTGCTGCTGTAACGACAAACGAAACGATAGAAGAAGGAAACGTCTCTGGAAAGGCAACCGTCGAACGAGCGATTATCGGTCGAAAGAGGATCGATCGAGGAGACGGTGGCATTGCGCGTAATCGGCTCGCGCTGTGCGAACTGTAGAGAGGGGCGCGGGAGACGTTGGCGTGACGGGGCGCGTAATGACGCGGGTGGGAAGAAAAATCGAGTACGAAGAAGAAGCGACCGGCAGCTCGTTTCCGAAGAGAGAGAATTCCCGAGAATGGGGGCAATTTGGTTACCTGGTGGACGGACTGTTCCAGGTCGGGTGTCGATCGATGTTCATCCACGTAAAAGGGTGGGCGGTGGTACGAGGGAGCGGATGGTTAAAGGATAGTGGCGGCGGTCGGGGTTGTAATAAGCGTAATGGATATAGCAGGCCTGCACGCATGCCCTCGCCTCGCGACGACCAGCGCGGCGTGTTCACGCAGCAAAG